ATAGTTTTATCTATGTTAATGGTCCAGTTCTATTATCTCATTCTTCCCATTTTATTTGATGGAGTTCAGATAGAAACATTCCTGGGACATGTTTCTGTATCTTCCTATAATTTCTGGTGGCAATTATCTGATTCTGAATCATTATCATAAACCTCTTCACCTCTCTAAAAACAAAACCAAAAATAAAAATAAAAACACTCTCCCATGACTCCTCCATTGGACACTACTTGTTAATAGTCTTGTCCAACTAACATATTGTTAGGTGAGTACACGTATATCTATTACCATAATTAGTATTGGTCCATGTGTGCACACATACATATCTATGTATTAGAGCATTATTTCTAACTACAGGAATACCCCAGAGGTCATAGTTCTGACAACCTCAATCATTCAGACTACATCAAGCATAAGAAAATAAGCAAAAAGGCCTTGGGAAAACCAAAATAAATGTCACAAAATCCATGTATTAAAGCTCAGGCACTTATTTTTGTTCAGTCATTCAGTTGTTTCTGACTCTTCCTGACCCTGTGGACCTTGGTACAGCAATACTATTTATGGGGGCAAAGATACTAGAATGCTTTGCCATTTCCTCCTCTAGCTCATTTTACAGATAAGGAAACTGAGGCAAACTGAGTTAAGTGACTTGCCCAGGGTCACACAGTTAGGAAGTATCTGAGGCCAGATTTGAGTTTTCAGGAAGATGAGTCTTCCTGACTCCAGGTCTGGTGCTCTATCCACTGTGCCACCTAGCTGCCCCAAGTCTATCCTACAGTTATTGAATAGTTACTATATGGTATTTCATTTTCCAGATATAGGATTGCATAGTTTAGTAGATGTCACATCTCCTCTCTTCTCCTCACAGATTGTGAGCTCTGTGAATTCAGAAATGGTCTTAATTATCTTTGCCTCTTTCCTAGTACTAAACAGTGCTTGAGTATACAGTTAGTGCTTGCTGAAAGATTGACTGAATAAAGATATATTCAATAAGACCTGAGTTCAAATCTGGTCTGAGACACTAGCTATGTGACCTTAGACAAGTCACTTAACCTCTGCCTGACTGTTTCCTTATTCATACAATGGGATGATAATAATAGCACCTACCTTCCAAAGTTGTTATGAGATATTTGTAAAGTGCTTTGCAAACCTTAAAGTGTTATATAAATGATAGCTATTATCACTATGATTATTACTATTATTTTTTAAGAAGGTAGGGAGGTGTGCAAGACCTTTTAGAAAGGCTTCCATAAAAGGGCTAAAATAAAAATACTTGATTCTGAAACGGAAAATTTCTTCATACAAGAGCTTGATGACAATGCCACCAAAAAGGGGTTGACGATGAAGGAAAAGATAAGCATTGCCAATAACCCCAGGTTAGGATCATTTCGTTTTTCCAGAAATTCTTAAGAGGTCCGTGGACAGATCAGAGGGTGAAACATTATATCTTTATTTACATTAACCTCTAACTGAAATCTGGCATTTCCTTCAATGATGCATACAGGCAATAAAGCATTACTCTGAGAACGGCCTACAGGTTTCACCAGGCTACCCAAAGGAACCATGCATGACGCAAGAAAGGTTAAGAACCCCTGGTTTAAAGAGGGCTCTTCAGAATCCAAGGCTGCCAAGATTAGGGACGAGGGTAAGGACATTACCACAGAAAGTGAGCCTCCATGCTCTCCTCGTTCCCTGGCCTCTGGTTATTTGTTTGTTTCAGGACCAGACCACTTCCTTCCTCCCTGTTTAACTGGTTCCTCCTGCTTTTCCTAAGAAGCCCCTTTATCTCAGTTGCAGAGGTCCTCTGTATCTCTAAACAGCTGTCCCCAAGGCCCATCCTCTTGGTTCCTATGGAACTATGTGAATAACAATGCCTTTGTCTCCTGGGGATGAGGTCCTCAGCCTGACGGCTTTAATTAACACTTATCACCTGGAGCAGGCCCAGGGAAACCAGATCCAGGATGTGTGTGTGCTCGCCTGAGAGGGGCTCTGCTTCCACCTCAGGTGAGCAGTAACACCCAAACACAGCTGCCAGAACGGCCCCCATTAGCAAGGCAGGCAATATTCCTCTCTCTCTCCTCCCCCCGCCAACCCCTTTCCATAGACACTGAAAAATGGTAAGTGTGGGATGCTTTATCTCTTGCTAACACTCCTCCTTTCCTTTGCCCTTTTCTCCCTGGGAGTTTCCTTATGGCTCTCATGAAAAACCTTTGTGTCACTTTGAAAAGTTGCCAGTTGTCACCGCATCACATAAAATCTGGCTTTCACTGGGCGGGGACCCCTGAGAGCTCTGTGCTGTGAAGTGAGAAGTAGTCAGTTGGAATAATCCCTTCAATTTGAGCAGTCTCTCAAGCATAATTAGACCATACCAGGTGAGGGCTCCTCACTGACAATATAAATAAACAAACACTAGTACTATGCCAGTCTGCTCTTTCTACTCCCTGCCCCTCCCCTCCCTTTTCTCACCACCTTTTTCTCCCCAAAGGAAGAAATACCATAACTAGTGCCATAACACACTTGCATGCAGCTCTGGATAAGCCCCCCTATGGTGTAAGTCCTCTTCATAATGACTGGGGTAACAAGCACCTACCCCAAATCAAAAAGCAAAGAAATTAGATCATGTTTATTTCAATAAGGACCTGAGCAGAATATGACTGAGGTTCATAATAACAACAAACCCTGGAGATGGTGCAGAACACAGGTGACAGGCTCACAACTTTAGAACTATAAGGGATCTCAGAGGTCCTCCAGTCCAAACCTCTAATATTACAGATGAGGAAACCGAGGCCCAGAGAGCTCAAGGGATTTGCCCAACTCTCTCGGTTTACGTAAGAGACCAGAACTAAGCAAAGGTGATCGACCGGACAAAGAGAAGCTCCTGGTTGTTATGTCACGAAGCGGTATTTGTGGAATTCTGGGAAAAGGCCGTGGATGCATTTAGTTGGTCCCCAGACACCCTAGGTTTTTTCCCTCACAGAATTCTTCCTGGATAAAAGGAACTACAGCGACATCTCTAAGGCAACTGTAAAAAGCCCGTCCTTTGGCCGCAAGACCAGTATGATCTTAAGAAAATATCAGCATGGCTTCAGAAGCCACAGACCAGATCCCAGAGTTAGCTGAGGTTACAACGTCAGGGTAAATGATATGTACGCTGCCAAATGATCTGTGGTCCTCACTAGCGTTTGGGGTGCTTTTGCTCGAGGAATAAATGAACAGGTTTGTGCTGTAGAAAAAATACAATAGCCCCACACCAGCAAGTACTTTAGTCTTTTGGTGAAGGTGGAAGATTCAACTCTCAGTTTAGTGGAAATTGTTCTTGTTTCATTTGTATTTTTAAACTTGATTATTTTCATTACTATTTAATGTAGAAAACAAGTGCCTGTCAGATATCAGATTCCATCTAAATGTCTGAAAATAATCCTATGGAGTAAAGAGTCAATCAACAAATTTGATGAGGCTACAGGGAGATTCACGTGGAATGTAGTAGATTATAAATTCCTTAATGGCAGGGACTGTTTTCAAGTTGAGAAGCATTTATTAAGCTCCTGCTATGTGCTAGGCACCGCACTAAATGCTTTGGTCTTTGTAACACCATTGCCTGGCACAATGCCTGCCACATAGTGGGAACTTAATAAGTAAATGTATTTTGATGAGTTCTGAAAGACTTAACTCTCTCTCTCTCTCTCTGTCTCTCTTTTTTTTTTAGGGAATTGGGGTTAAGTGACTTGCCCAGGGTCACACAGCCAGTAAGTGTCAAGTGTTTGGTCTGAGGCTGGATTTGAACTCAGGTCCTCCTGACTTCAGGGCTGGTGCTCTAACCACTGCGCCACCTAGCTGCCCCAAGACTTAACTCTGATGATGCCATGACTAACCTTGATTCCAGAGGACTGATGAGGAAGCATCAGTCTTGGCAGAGAGACTCAAGAAACAGAATGACGTGTATTTTTTGACATGGCCAGTGTATGCAGCATAATTATGCATATTTGTTACAAGGGTTTTGTTTTTGCTTTTCTTTTTCTTTTTCTAGTGAAGGGAAGTGGGGGAAAGAGAAAATAAATACTTGTGAATTGAAATGTTTAAAAACTTTTATGTTAAAAATGCTTCTTGATTGAGGATGTGAACATGTACTACTTTGAGAGGACTGGGGACATCTTGTAACTTAATCAAGATGATCCAGGAACTCCTCAAATCAACCCAAATTTCCTATGGGAAGGAAAAAAAGGATACATTTTTCTATTGCTTCTAATGAATATTTGGATTTGACTTATAGTCTTGGTGCCTTTAGATATTAATGATCTCAGGGGCAGCATATGGATCAACAAATGTTCAGTTTGGGGTAGCTCGGCTAGATTTATTCCCCAAAATTCATCAGGTGGTTTTGCCTTGAGTTGAGAAATAGCCTATTTACTGGGCAAAATTAAGTCTCCCACAAGATAATTGGGCAGAGCCAGCTCCCCAGGCAGCTTATATCCCAAAGGTGTGTGCCAAGTATATCCAACTTGTTCATGACAAATGTTTTCTTTACAAAGGTTTTATTGGATGCAATCCAATGGATGGTACTTAGGAATTTAATAACTTTTGATGATCACATCCCCTTCTGCTTATAGAAATACTACCTCAAAGGACATGCAAGAGTTCTTTCCCCCTATAAAATGAACCTGGACATTTTGTACATGGAAAGAGAACAATTTTATTTAAAGAAATCAAGAAAGCACATCAGACAGCTTATGAAGGACTGGTTTTTTTTCCTTCTATGACCATTGTTCTTTCAAAGATTTTAGAGTTTATGTATTTTTTTCTTGTGACACCAGAGAAGGATAGTAAGACTTGTCACCTTAAATAAACTGGTATCAGTCTATTGGACTTTTGATTCGAGAGACCACCACTGACTCTTGTCTGACTCTTGGAATACCCTTGATATCAAGTGCCCTTAATACCCTGATCCTGGTCCACGCCCATTTTGTGAACCCAGAAGAAAGCGATAATATTAACAGCAGACTCACCTTTCAGCTACTTTGGACATCTTTAAACGATGTCTGTCTATCTGTGTAGTCAGAAATGCTATCTGAGGAAAGAGATGACAGGTATATTAATGCTGTACCAGAATGCTTTTCCCCTTCCCTCTACCAATTCCAAGCCTACATTTCCTTCTAGCTCCAGCTCAAGATGCTCCAAGAAGTTTTCCCCAACAACCTCTTTTTATGAAGCTATTTCCCTTCATCTCTATCACACAGATGAGTAACTGATTTTCCTATTGTTTTCCATCTTATATATGATTTTACACATATAAATTTGGTATATCAAGATTGTTAGTTTCTGAGGGGCAATGTCCATGTTTATATATCTTTTGGATCTTCTGCCTAGAACAGTTGCTAGTCCTATAGCAGCCTTTTATTTACTCTGAATCGCATCAGTGTTTATACCCACAGTCTTATTTTCTTTTTCTTCCTTCCTTCCTTTCTTTCTTTTTTTCTTTTTTCTTTCTTTCTTTCCTTCCTTCCTTCCTTCCTTCCTTCCTTCCTTCTCTCTCTCTCTCTCTCTCTCTCTCTCTCTCTCTCTCTCTCTCTCTCTCTCTCTCTCTCTCCCCCCCTCCCTCCCCCCTTTTCGGCCAGGCCTATGATTTTATCAGGTAAGGAGCTCTCAGTATGGAACTCCTCAGACCAATGAAGAACAGCAACCACTCTGAAACTTAGCCTCAGAGAGTTGTTCCAGGGCAATGAGAAAGTAAATGACTTGCATCTGGTCACATAACACTTACGTGTCAAAGGCTATCCTTGAACCCAGGCTTTCTAAGTTCAGCTCTGACAAGCTGCCATTCACACCATCTTTTCTATACTTAAACACACACATAATTTAGAGATAATTTAGCCTAATCTCATTTTATAGAAAATTAAGATCAATTCAATAAAAACATAATAAAATTCAATAAAATATAAGCTCTTTGAAGACAGAGACTATTTCATTTTTATATCTGTATCCCTAGCACTTAGCATATGGTAGGTGCTTACTAAACGCTCAATGACATGAATTAAATTGCTATGTTGGTATATATGTCTTCTCTTTTCAAAGAGACAATAAGCTGCTCAGTGGCAGAGACTCTGTTTTCTTCCTTTGCATCCACCTAGTATCATGCTCGGTATACAGTAGATGCTAAATTGTTGAATGGGCTTTGTCTGAGGCCAAATGCCATGACTTTATGAGTGAACCACCACAGCAGCAACACAAAGTGTCATGTGTAGTTAACTCTGCTAATCTTCCTTCCTTGGAGTGACAAGTACGTGGTAGGCATTTAATAAATGTTGATTGACTGACTGTTCTGACTACTGACCTTGGAGAAAAATAAACTCACTGAATGAATCCTGAAAAAAGGGGAAAAGGTAGAGAAGCAACAACCATTTTTTCTTCCAACCCTGAGACTCAGAATCTTAAAAACAAAAGCTATTGGTCCCAACCTATTGTTTTCCCTAGAAAGCATAACCTTTTTAGGAATTCTTTGAAGAATAAAACATGATTATATCTTTGTAGAAAAAGCAGAGCAAAGATGGGAGAGTTTAGGAGAACAACTGTGCTCTCTGTAGCCAGCTGGGAGTGAGGAAGGCCTGGGTTCAAGTCCTCTGTAATTATGGTTGTATAGCTGTGAGCACTTGGCAGCTAGGTGGCGTTGGAAAGATCTGAGTTCAAATCTGACCTCAGACACTTCCTAGCTTTGTGTCCCTGGGCAAGTTGCGTAACTCTGTTTGCCTCAGTTTCCTCATCTGTAAAATGAGGTGGAGTAGGAAATGGCGAATCACTCTCGCACTAGTTAGTCTTTGCTAACAAAACCCCTCTTGGGGTCACCAACAGTCAGACATGACTGAAATGACTGAACAGGACTGTGAACACAACATTTAACCTTTCCTTGCTCCAGACAACTTTCTAAGATTTGTGATTTCACCAGTGAGAGGGAGCTCTTGGTGTGGAAACTCGATCTGGTAAGGTAAGTCTGTCCCAACTCCCCTTCCTCCTCGCCATCAAAGCAGCTGAGTAGTATACTTGGGGAAGACCTCAGGTCAGCTATGTTCCAAAAAGAACCATTGGTTTAGAGGTGAAAGGGACCTTAGGGGTTCTCTAGTCCAATCCCTTCATTTTATAGATGAGACTCTCTGAGCCTCAGAGAGAACTTATGTGACATGTACAGCAAAGAACCTAAGTTCTCTGCTTCCAAAGCCAATGTACTTCCACGATACTGCACCGCCTTGCAAATGTCCCTTGGAACTCAGAAACTTGCTCATCTTTTTGGACCTAAACATAACCAGAGTTTCCCATCCTTCCTCTGGGGTGTTAGGAACTGCTATGAATAATTCATACACGCACCTGTTTTCGGATGTCCTCTTTTGTAGTTTTCCTGATTGGCTGGGCAGGTATATGCACAGGGCTCTGGGACTGAGACTCTTCTGTCACTCCATACACTGACTAGAAAAGAAGGGAAATGCGAGGGATTCAGGTGCTGTTAGGAATCAGTGCCTTCCTTTTCCCTCATCAGCAGTGATCTTTCTATAACACCAGACACATTTCTCAGGCACAGAAATAACGGAAGAACTTCACATCTGCTCATAGGACTATGGTGATCTCTAGCCTCAGATTCTCCCCCAGTACAGTTTTTAAGGATATATATGAGGGTTAATTTGCAAAATAGCCTAGCCTTTGGGAGGTTAAATCGTAATACAGCATGATTTTAGAGAATAGTCTTATAATTCCCTAGCTCCTGCCAAGAACAGGTATATGGACCGGAACCAAACCTAAATAGATGGTTCTGCCAAAGTTAAGCCAATGTGACTGAGGCGCCAAGGTCATGATAAACCTAACCAATGAAGAAATAACAGGACGACAATTCTGAAAAATAATTGTATTGAAATAAATTCCGAGAAATTTTTGTTCAGTTGTTCAGTCGTGTCTAACTCTTTGTGACCTTGTGGACCAACTGTCCATAGGGTTTTCTTGGCAAGGAAATTGGAATGGTTTGCCATTTCCTTCTCCAGTTTTATGCAGGCAAGGGTTAAGTGACTTGCCCAGGATTCCACAGCTAGTAACTGTCTGAGGTCACATTTGAATTCTGGTCTTTCTGGTCTTTCTGCTTCCTGGCCTAGTGCTCTCATCCACTGCACCACCAAATAACTATATTGAACTAAGTTCTGAGAAATAGTTGTATTACACATGGGTTAATATTTCATTATTTGTATAAAAAAAGTGCCTCGATGGATTTCTCTTGTAGTTCCTCAGGCTGCTTAAAAGCATGGACTCTGAACGCTCCTATTATCTCCTTTTCAACAAACTGTTACATCAAGGATTGTCTCCACATAGGTTTATTGTAGCCTAACAAATTGTAGCTGTGACATAGACATTTCTTTTCCCTAAAGGATAGACTGATAAACCAGGGACTCTTCAGCATAGGAAGACAAAAGGCTCAGTAGTGTTATGATTGAATTTCATCAAGACCTGTACACAGATAGCATGGAGAGAGATTTGTCTATCAACTTCTGGAGTACTTCTTCTTGTTATTGTTGTCTCTTATTCTCAAAGAGGACCAATGACATCATGAGGGGAATGTCTTGACTTGCATGTGACTAAGGCAACCTTCTCAAAGGCTGAAAAGAGTAATTTTAGGAGAAGTAATAATGGTTGATAATTTATATAGCACCTTAAGTTTTGAGAAGTTATTCACATATATAATCTCATCTGAGTCCCACAACAACCCTGTAAAGAAGGTACTATTAGTATAATTATCATTGCCATTTTACAGATGAAGAAACTGAGTCTTCAACAGTTTAAGTTTCTCTCCCATAATCCCATACTCAATTAGCAATGGAGGTAGAATTTGGATTGATTCCAAATTGAGCATTCTCATAAATAGGCTATGGTAAGTAAAAGGATTATATCTCTACATTACACAGTGGGGCATGTTACAACAGAATTCAAATACTCAAAAATGCAAATGGATCTGGGATTTCATCAATGTGGATATTCCCTCCAAAGATGCAGATTCCATCCCATTTGTGCCTGCCCATCCTGCAAGATTTTTGTCCATATCCCCTCATAAGGTTGACACTATAAGAATAGGACCTTGCTATACCAGTGAAGGATAAAAATAAAGAGTCAAAAATGACTTCAATTTTATAACTAGACTTCATAGTAGGGAAAGGAGGGATATTTTTACTCCTAACCTTATGAGGTTAACATTATAGTTTATACTTTATATACAGTACTTGATGGTTACGAATTACTTTTAAGTACATTATCGCATTCATTTCTCATGACAGCTGGGTAAGGTAGATAGTGCCAATACTATGTCTCCATTTACTAATGAAGAAACTGGAGTTTTGAGATATTAAGCCACGTAAGTCAGTAAGTGGCACAATTGGTTCTCAAACACAATTCCAGGGTTCTTTCAGCTACAAACAAGTCCTCCAATAGTATGTCTCTTAGGATCATAGTCGGTCAGAATCCTGGGCTGGTTGAACCAAGGCTTAAGTCCCATATGGTGCTTTAATAGAGACCCTTGGAAGGAAGGGGGCCCTGGGTGACAGTCATGGCTCCCTAAAAAAATGAAACGCTCCTTGGTCTTACAGTCTATTGCCCAAGCAACAGGAAGGTTGAGATATTCTTGACATAGAAACATTTTAAATTCAGCTAAATGAGCTGACCTTTTTGACCTTCTGAGGATTCTTCATCCTACGACATTTTCTGATATCCATTTCTGTTGTATTCACACAACCTGGCTGAGAAAGGAATCATTGTAAAAGTTAATAATTAAAGCTCTAATTGACCCAAATGACCTTATTACCACCATTAAGTCAAGCCAACAATTACTTGTTTAGTGATTATTTTTGCAAGGCAACATGCTAAGCACTGGGAATATAAAGAAAGGCAAAATTCTATTAAAAATACATAAGCATACAAATACGGGGTATCCCCAAAGTCTTTGTATGATTTTGAGTTATTAATAGCTTAAAGTATTAAGCTAGTGTTAACGCTATTAATAGCTTAAAGTGTTGAGCTAGTATTAAGTTATAAATAGCTTAGTACTGCACAAAGACTTTGGGGATACCCTGTATATATTTGATTTTCTCCAGTGAACAAATTAATTTTGTTCAGTGGATCTGTGTTTGCCTTATGCCAAATGACAGATTTTAATATGATCAGGATGATGATATTTATAAATGGCTTTTAACAAAGATGCTTTCTCTGCTGACTAAAAGTAATAAGGGGAAGGAAGGGAATAAGCATTTACATGGTACCTGCTATGTGCCAGGCAGTGTGCTAAGCTTTTACAAATATCATCTTATTTGATCCTCACAACAACCCTGTTGGGTAGGTGCTATTATTGACCCCCATTTTATAGTCAACAAAACTGAAGGAAATACAGATTAAGTGACTCACCCAGGGTCATGTTGTTGTTCAGTTGTTTCAGTCATGTCTGACTCTTTGTGACCCTGTTTGGAGTTTCCTTGGCAAAGATACTGGAGGAGTTTGTCATTTACTTCTCCAGCTCATTTTGCAGATGAGGAAGTTGAGGCAAACAGATGTAGTGACTTGCCCAGGGACACACAGCTAGCAAGTGTTTGAGGCCAGATTTGAACTCAGAAAGATGAGTCTTCTTGACTCCAGGTTCAGCACTCTATCCATTGTGCTATCTTATGGTCCTCACCATGTGGGGACTGAATTTTTTGTGCCAGTTTTTTGAAAGTCTGGGCTTGAATACTTTAACCATTTTTAATTACGTGAAAAGGATAAGAAAAGGGAACCATCCTTAGTCCACCCTCCTATTTTATGAAGGGATATATAATTCATGGTGATTATGTGGAATTTTTTAAAAGTCTTAAAAAGGACTAACTTTAACTGTCACATTTAAGTATTTGTGAAAATGGAAATGTTTTTACTCTGGAAATGTGAACTGTGCTGTTTCCCTGAGAAAACAATTTGCTGAGGAGGTGGAGAGAGAGGGAAATCACTTTTATTTTCAAGGATAAACATTTTAGAGTCAACTTTGTGTAGCTTTTAGGGAAAATAAAGTAATCATATGAATGAATAAAGTCAACTAGGTGGCACATTTGATAGAGCTCCAGCCCAGAGTCATGCAGAGTTGAACATGACTGAGTATGATGGAACAACAACAAATGAATGAATAATAAAATGGGAGATCACCCATTTCCCAAAGACAGACTTTTGTAGGCTAAAGACTGCCTTTGGTCTTAGAAGGGGATAAGGAAAATGAGAAAACCTATAAAACTACACAAAACCATCTCACCACTGGCCTGTGAACATCCCAGAAGGCTCTTTCTTGACTATCCAAAATTTTTCTTTCTGTTTTATCTTTTTTCCGATCAATCCTAAAAATGGAAACAGAAAAGAGAAATAATTTGCATTTGTCTTTTTTCTTTTTCATTTTCTTCTGCCCACCCCTATTTGCATTTCTAGGGAATTAGTGCATCTATTGGCAAATGGAACAAATACATTTACTGTGGTCATTTTAAGAGCGTGAGGCCCATTTGTGTAAAATGTTGGCGCCTTCCCTCTTGCCCTCCACTATACTTCACAATGAAATTAACAAAAGAAAATATGTTTGGGGCCCGACTTACAAAGAGCTCTATAACGGAAAGGAATTGCACATGATGCTGGAGAAAATCAGTTGGCTAAAAGTTGGTTGAATGTAAGCTAAAACACACACTGCTTAAGGGCAGGGATCATTTTAGCAGGTCCTTAATAATTGCTTGTTGAATTGGGGTGGCATTTAGTGTATAAAATTTAAATGGGGGCCAGTCCGTTTTCCATCCTTAAATTTGTAAGTTTGCTTTAGGTCTAACTTGCTATAATTTCAAGACTTCAATTTAAGCTGAGTCTCCTCCCATTCCACCTTTTTCCCAAATCAGAGAAAGAACCTCAGCACATGACAGGATCTAGAAATCAAATATCAACCCTATTTTGGTTTCATTAATCCCTGCTGGTGGATGAACAAATTGTGAAAAGTAAATTACAGGTGACAAAAGAAATATTTTGTTTTCTAATCAGTAGCCCAGATGAGAGGCTTTTATTAAAACAAGAAAAAAAGTGTATTGCTTCATACTCCTTCTGTAAGTAAGAAGTAACTCAGATTAATTGCCACGTACCAGGGAACTTCTAGCTTTCAAATCTCACAGGAGCACTTTAGTTTACTGGGCTGAAATAAACCTATAATCACCCTGTGATTTTCATGATAATTGCCATGTACTTAAATGGTTCACAATTATAAAGTAATCACAAAGTTAATCAAAAAAGTTAATCGAGAAATACCATATGTGTATCAAGTGACAATTCCCCCTCCTTTTGTAACATGTGAGGTTCTTCTATTCTGAAAGTACAAATTAACTTTTCTCTTTGTTTTCCAGGATCTTCTGGATGCAAAGAGATTATAAACCTTGTAATTCCTGTTCCAATTTCTGCCCCACCCACTATCATCAGTTTCTCCATGGGCCACGGCTCCTTCTGTAGCAGTAACCAACTCTGGAGTGATATAACACACTGTGCAGAGGACACCTGGCTTGCTAAGGTTACTGAGAGAGAGTGATGAGATCTTGGGTGAGAGGCAGAGCATAATGAATTGTGAGAAGGAAGAGGAATGCAGGAGGAGGGTCAGATGGATAACCTGTCAACAGAACCCATAATATAGAAGTTAACACAATGGCATCCTAAGAATCATCAATTTGAACAAAGTCCCTACCATTTTTCTCTTTTACTGTACCACAGGGGGCTGTATGGGTTGGTAGCAGGAGAGGATGTCATGAGTGAGACTGGTTGTAGTGAAGGCGGGGCTTTTTAGCTTCATTCCACAGTATACCTGCCAAAGTCTATATCTGTCAGTGTAAATCTAAAAAGAAGGGAAGTGGGAGGGAAAGGAAAAGGGGAACATGGGGCATCCTGTACACATTCATAGTAAGTAGAGGGGTCTCAATATGCTAGCAGTGAGAATGGGAAGGATGGGGAGACAAGCCTTTGGAAAGATGGTATTTGGCCATGCTAATGGAGGGAATTAGGAGAGAAGAGAGTAGCAGTGACTGGGGAGAAATTTAGAATATTATACACCAACCCCTTTACCAAAGTGAACATCCAATGAGTTCCAATTTAGAAAGATAAAATGATGAAAGAGAAAGGGGATGTAGGGCAATGAGCTGCAATGGTTACGACAGTGGTCCATGCAGAGTTGCCTCTAGATCTTATACTGTTAGACAAGGAAGGCTTTGAGTAATACAGGCTAGGTTACTTCTTGGAGTATGGGTCCCTAACACCTGATGCTTGTATGGGATGCTTGTCAAGAGATCAAAGAGCCTTTTCTGTGTAAGCTATAAGTAGCATGCCTCAGATCTTCAAGGGTGGCTACACCTTTCCAACCTCTTTCTTCCTATCTATGTATCGAATTTCTTATAAGAACTTCTGCCAATCCGAAAGTACTGGAAGGGAAGCATACATGCTTCTTTATTGTATCCATCTCTGGTACTTGGTATCGCCTGTACCAAATGTAAAGGCTCTTATTTGGGGGGGAAAACATGCTTGTTGAAATCAGAAGAAATCTCCAGATATCTAAATGAATTTCAACACAGAACATAAAGTGGCTTGGAAATTATTTAGGGAACAATAGATTGTTCAAGTCAGGGTTATAGGTTAAGAAACGATGGAGGAAGGATTTTCCTATAAGAATTCTAAAACACCCACTTGATAACTTTCCTAGTGTGAAATTAACCAAGAAGAAGACACACATTGAATTATAAGAAAAAAACACCATCTGGGCTGAAAATTCAGAGTGATTTCTAGGCAAATCCTGGCCTTTATTTCCACAAAGCTGTTTTCATTAGAAAATAGGGAGGAGAACCAGAAATCCTAACTCTGGTTGCTGACTCCCTTGAACACATGCAATGAAGACACACATTTGGAATGAAACCCCTTCTTTTCCTGGAAGAGGCTCTGTTCCATTCACATACTTCACTTGGGCTTCTGCTTGCATAAAGATGAATTCCCACTTCCTTGCAAAGGCCCTCTGGAGTCTTGCTAGGTTTTCCTGATAAAAAATGAAATCAATGACGGCATTAATCATAATAAGTATTGGACCATGGCTACCATGCTCATTACATGTGTGCTCATCCATATTGGTTAGACAGAACAATATAATGGTCCCCCATTTTAAATTTACTAGACTGGAACTTGATTTAGCTTTGTACCATATTCTGCTGCACAGGAATGCACTTCCAATCATCATCAGCATGCCAGCTGAAGGAATTATCTGTATGAAGTTTAGAGGGAACCCGGGGAACTTTTCTTCCAATAGGTCTCATCTATGTACGTAATACCCACTGCTTGGCTACATACCCAGTATAAGTTAAGGTCTAGAGATGTGCTTGAGTTTTCTATTTGTGCTCTGTGGATTTGGGGATAAATGATGCCTGCTGGACATTTCTGTAAACAAAAACTAGGAGAATGGGGATGGTTTTTCTGGACTTATCATCTATTCTTTAAACTAGGTCACTCTAACAGAAGAGAAGCCTGTGAGACCAACTTAGTCTTCTAGAATCTGACCAATGCAGAGATGGAGTCTCCATCATTACAGATTTAGTGCTGGAAGGGGCCTTAGAGGTCTTTAATTCTAACTTGTCTCTTAGTCTTTACTATACACAAAGCAGTTCTGTTAGGCTGGGGTGGGGCAGGGAAGGAAGGGAAGAGAATTTGATTTTCTAATTGAAAAGTGCATAAAAAACAATAAAGGCAGAGAGAACAAGAAAAAATGTTTCATTAAAAGTCTCTCCGAAAGAAAAAAGGGAGAAGTGTTCTTTTTAATTCTTTAATTCAGTAGGATTACACATAGTGGGCAGTAGACAGGGTAGTAAGTTGACAGGCTCGCTAATCGCCTGCCTAATTCTGATTGAATGCAAGGCCAGAGTTCACATTCTGCTATGTATTTTCATAGGGTTGGTGCCAACACTTAATTGATTGCTTTTATTAGAAGGTTATTAATATAAAAGGGGATTAAACTGAAAAGTATCATATAGGCAGCTAACATTATGCCTGTATGTACAAATAGGCACAGAAACAAAAATGACCCCTGGAATTTTTTCTGTTCTTTTTATTTTTGAGAATCCTTTGAGCTTTTTATAGTATTTAAACTTCACTGGGAATTGGTGCCACTATCTATTCTGAACATTCTTTTACATGGAAAATGGAAGATGTGGGTGAGAGATACAAAGTGGATCATTACATTTTTGGGCCTGAATCTTTTCCCTATGGTTAAGGAAGTTACATAAACAAATATTAAAAATATAAGCAGTTGGGCAGCTAAGTGACGGCAGTGAATAAAGCACCAGCCCTGGAGTCAGGAGGACAGAGGTCAAATCTGGTCTCAGACCAGACACTTGACACTTACTAGCTGTGTGATCCTGGGCAAGTCACTTAACCCCAACTACCTTGCCAAAAAATATATATATATAATCAGTCCAAAAACTTTTACATCCAGACTACAAATAAGGAAAGGTTTCAAAACAGCATTATATTGATGGGGGGGAGGGGTGAAATGTCTAGCTACAAGGAACTCAAAGGTGCCAAGGCTGCCAGCTTGTGCCCAAGATGCTTTGAACTCCCAGAATGTGAGAAAGGATGGGAAAAGAGTATTTATCAAGAGCTTACTATGTATCAAGCATGTCTAAGTGCTTTACAAATATTATCCTATTTAATCTTCACAACAAACCTGAGAGGTAGGTGCTATTATTATTCCCATTTCACAGTTGAGGAAACTGAGGCAGATAGAGGTTAAATGGCTTGCCCAGGGTCACACAACTAGTAAGTATCTGAGGCTGGATTTGAACTCAGATCTTCCTGACTCTAGGCCCAGTGCTCTATCCACTGTGCCCCTTAGCTGCCTTAATGACAATTTTACAGTTTGGTTAGAAAGTTCATCAAAGTCAATGAACGATACTACAGATAGGTGGATAAGAAGCTACCTGGTATTAGTGGAAAGAATGATGGACGTGGATTCAAGGGGACATGAGTTCACATCTTGCCTCTGATCCTTATTAGCCAAGACTAGGGGCAGGTCACTTACCCTCTCTGAGCCTCAGTTTCCTCACCTATAAAATGGGGATAACTACCTGTAGTACCTGTACGTCATGAGATTGTTGCGAGGTTCAGATGAGATCATGTATGTCAAGTTCTTTGTAAACTTTAAAGCCCTGTATAAATGTTACTTATATTATTACCTACCTAGTCCTGTTAGAATCGAGACCATATAGTAGGTAAAAGTGCTATGGAAATATTAATCATTATTATTACTGCTAGTATAAAGAGGTTACTAGGGGAGTCCTCCATCAACTAGATGAGATTATGGGCTATTTAGAAGCACCTAGGGGCACCTCTCCTGGCATCCACACTAGTTTTATCTGAGGAGACATAGGGAATCGCTCTGATAGCTTCCCAGTGACCAGGGCTGCCTCTAAGATGACTGGAAACTGAAAGGCAAGGGGGTGATCTCTTACTGGAGGAGCTGTCCCATGTGGGGATAAGGAGCCAAAGAGAGAAACTGACCCTCCTTTATCGGACCCAACCTGTATGAGCCTAGAATCTTGGAGCCACTTAGGTCATGAATGACACAATTGTAATACACGTGGAAAAGTTTCTGAAATAGCATTAGTGACTATAATTTAGTCCTACTTTGCTATTTTTGGTACTTGTATCCCTAGTTCCTGGGGACAGTGCCTGGTACATAGGAGATGCTTAATAAATACTTCTTGTTGTTATGACAACAGTTTCAAGGGATAATGGTCTAGTCTTGTCTATGCATTGACCTCCTTGCTATTCCTCCAAGAAGACATACCATTTCTTGAGTCTGGGCATTTTCACTGGCTGTCCTCCATATCTGGAATGCTCTTCCTCCTCATCTCTGCCTTCTGGATTTCTTTAAATCTCAGCTAAAATCCTACTTCCTAAAGGAAATCTTTGCTGATCCCACTTAATTCTTGTGTTGTTATCGTCCAATCATTTTCAGTCTCGTCTGACTCTTCATGACCCCATTTGGGGTTTTCTTGGCAAAGATACTGAAGTGGTTTGCCATTTCCTTCTCCAGCTCATTTTACACATGAGGAAACTGAGGCAAACAGGGTTAAGTGACTTGCCCAGGGTCACACAGCTAGTGTCTGAAGTTGAATTTGAACTCAGGTCCCCCTGACTCCAGGACTGGCACTCCATCCACTGCGCCACCTGGCTGCCCCTGGTGTCTTCCTTCTAGCGTCTTGCTTCCTAAATCTCCAATTTATTTTGTATATAGCTTGTTTGTACATATTTATTTGCATGTTGTTTCCCCCATCAGTTCATGAGCTCTTTGAGAGCAGCGACTGTCTTTTGCCTTTCTTTGTATCCTCAGCACTTAGCACAGTGCCTGGCACATAATAATAGGCACTTAATAAATGTATATTGACTGACCAACCAACTCAGATAGTCTGTCTTGAACAATGGAGCCTTAGTGTGGGTATGGCAGAGCATGGGTAGGGCTGGCTGGCCCCTGTGCCCAACAGACTGCATTAGGCTTCAAGTTAATTGTGGGAGCCCACAAGAGCAGGAAGGAGAGGGGAATTTGGTAGGTGGGTAGATTTAGAGGTAGGGATAATGTTTGATTATACAAGAGAAAATTAATCCTGACCCTCTGTGCTGCCTCTCTTCCCTCTGCTGCCAGCTCTTTAGCCATCTCACTATTCATTAGTACCTTCACAGGAGGGTGGGTAGGGAACAGAGGAGGAGGAGGAAGATTTAAAATTAGCCTTATAAAGATGGGTTTGGAGGAGGAGGTGGAAATCATTGGCTACAGTCATAATTTTTATCATCTGTGTTGATTTTGTATTTAAACTTCTCTGAACTTCATTTTTCTCCTCTATGAAGTGGAGGCACCCCATTGGGAACAGAGTTCTTGGGGCGATCAAGATCGAAGACCGATAATTCTCCTCTTGAACAGTAATAGACTCTCTGCTCCGTGGTGTAACATGTGGCTTCAAGGCTGGTAGGGAGGCGGTGTGGGGGATCAAATTCTTGGAAGGAATTATGGAGAAAAGTCATGAATCTGAGATTTGGAGTGGGAAGAGGGGCACTGGGAAGGATGTCACATGAATCACACAGATCCTATAAGCTTAATCTACCCTAAGAATCTTCCTCTGATACCAAGAACTATTGAATGTGTGGGGACACAACTTTATTCTCAGGGTCATAAAAACTATCAGAGGGAGGCCATTTAGAGCCGAGAACAAAGGAGGCAGAGGGACTGAAAAGGGGGAAATGATGGTTCAAACCCAGATAGATGCAAAGATATCTTTTAACCCTCCTCCTCCCACACCTGTCCAGGGAGGTAGTTATACTTACAGCTTCATAATCTGCCAATTCCAATCTTGCTTTATTCTGCATTGTCCTCTTACACAGATAAATGGCTAAGAGAAGAAGAGAAATAACATTGCACCAAAACCATGACTCAAGGCAAGATGGGTGGCAAGAGATCAGGACTGAGGATCATGAATTTCAAGCTGAAAGGGATCTTAGAGATCATCTAGTCCAACCTCTTCATTTATCAGATGAGGAAAGTGAGATCCAGACAGGTTAATTGATTTTCCTCAAGGTCACAAAGTAGTATCTGAGTCAATGTTGGAACCCAAATTTGAGTCAATATTTGAATGCAAAACCTAACCCTCTCTACCCTTTGCACTCAAAAGACCTGGCTTTTAATTTAATCTCTTTTACTTATTAGTCATGTGTACTTGAATAGGTCCAATTAACCAATCTAAGGCTCAGTTTTCTCACCTGCAAATTGGGAATAATACTTGCACTACCAACCTTATAGGGCTATCCTGAGAATCAAATGAAATCATGTAAAAAGTATAGTAAAGTTCTATAATCATTACAATTAGCAATAAGTAGCATTAGTGGAGTAATCAGTCAATCAATCATGTATTTGCTGGGCACCTCTGTGCCCAGTACTATGCTAGACACTGTGAGAAATGTAAGAAAAGAAGAAGTAATGAATAGCCTCCACTCTTAAGGAGTCATGTGTCATGTCAGGATTTGGTCACCAAGAAATATGAGCCACTTGTTGATTCCAGGATATAGCATGACACTTCCATCCCCTGTCCTGACACACACACACACACACACACACACACACACACACACACATATTTCTGGTACAACATTCCCATCACCTAGCAGAGTGCACAGAACAGGTAAATAAATACTTAATGAATACATGAAGGCATCTTGGAAGCAGAAATGGAAAAGGCTTCAAGTTACTCCCTCACCTCCTCTAACAAGTAGTTTCAATGATTTCTTCAAGACTCAGCTCAAATTTCATCTACTCTGTGTGGCTTTTTCTGGTTCCCTCCAGCTGCTAATGCCTTCCCCTCATAGAATGTATTAAATCTACTATGTATATATCTTGTATCTACTTAGTTATTTCCCCATTGCCTCCCTTCTTAGAATGTAAGCTTCTTGAGGGCAAGGATTTTTTTTTTGCCTTCCTTTGTATCCTGGCTCTTAGCATAGTGCCTGGCACATAGTAAGCACTAAATAGATGCATAAGATAGGTGGGTAAAGAGAAGGGGGAAATTTTGCATATTGCAAGCACCATCACAACTGATCCAGTCTCAGGGTATCTAAAGTTAGGGGTGGAGAGAAATCTCAAATTATGCCCAAAGAATTATAAAACTGTATATATCCTTTGACCCAGCAATACCACTATTAGGTTTGTCTCTCAAGATGATCAGGGAAAAAGGAAAAGAACCTATATATTCTAAAATACTTATAGACGCTTTCTTTTTGATGTCAAAGAATTGGAAATTGAGGGGATGCCCATCAATTGGGGAATGGCTAAACAAGTTGTGGTATATGATTGTAATGGAATACTACTGTGCTATAAGAAATGATGAGTAGATTGATTTAAAAAAACATGGAAAGACTTACCTGAAATAATGAAGAGGGAAATGAGCAGAACAAAGAGAATGTTGTATACAGTAACAGCAACATGGTTGAAGAATAACTATGTGTGACTAGTTATTTTGAGTATTATAAATACTCAAATCAACTACAAAGGACCTACAAAGAAAGACACTATCCACCACCACAGAATGAATTAATAAATAGAAGTTTTCATAGTATGGTTTTACACACACACACACACCCCCCATTCCCCTTGCAGCTGGAATCCTCTCCCAATAACAGATAATAATTCTCCAAAATGTCTTGAAAGAAATGGGATTTGATTGCCCCACTATCTCAGAAGAAGAATTAGCAGGGACTACCATAGAAGAATTTACTCGTGTGTGTGTGTGTATGTGTGTGTGTGCATGTTTGTGTAGTGTGGGATGGGGAAGGAGGGAAGGAGACAGTTTGGAACTTAAAATGGAACAAAATAAATTAAATTAAATTAAAAAAAAAGTCAGAGAGCTGGGCTTATCACTCAGTTGTGAGAGCAGAAAGAGGCAAGAAAGTGGGTACATTCAGGATTCCTGCCACTGTCACTGCTTTGTTTTGGCCAGGGTTGTTTGGAAAACGCAGGATGTGTGAGAGAGAGAGTCCAATAGCTTGTAACAGTGTCAAACTCAAATAGAAACAGACACCTGCAGGCTACATATTGACTTAGAAAACCACAAATTAACATTATCTATGTTGTACTGTATTTCTATTCATTTTGTTAAACATTTCCCAGTCACATTTTAGTTGGATTCAGGGCCTCATTAAGGAGTTTTGCAGATCTTAAGTTTGACCTCTCTGGTTTATACCACTTCTCCAGATTATGAGAAGGCCTGTTCAGGGAGAAGATTAGCCAATAACTCAGAAGATGTGGTCAGATGAGGTTCTCTAGGTTATAAATAAATGCCTACTTATTTGTATATAGGGGCGATGCTACTCATTTCACTGTCAGACATGACAGTGTTTGTTATCCTTCCAGTAGTGGTGATATATTGCATTGAATCATCCATAGCCTTTCACCCTGTATCTCTTGTAACTAAGGTCCCAGATGAGGAAGACTGCTGATTAGATTAATCCAGGCAGTCTGTATTTGTGAAATTTTTTTTCTTCCCTGTGTAAACCTGTGAGACGCAGAGAGGATGAGGCAAGGTCACATAGGTAGTAACTGATAGAACTAGGAATTTGAATCCAAGTCCTCTCACTCCAAATTTTTAGTGACCTCTTCATAGTATCTGCCTCCATCAGTAGACACATTTTACTATATGTAAATACAAATACATGAATAGAAATACATATGTAATACATGAAATATGTCACTAGATATATTTTATATACAAATAAACATAAAATAATTTTGATGGGAAGTAATTAATAACCCAAATGGGTATTCATGTAGGATGTGGTACTTGAGGTAAGTTTAGAAGGGAGCTAGGGATTCTAGGAGATGGGAAGCCAGAAAGAAGAACATTCCCTGCATGGGGTGTAGCCTGGGCAAAAGGCATGGACATACAGCCAGCATCATTCTGATCTGCAATGATTTCTCTTTTGCTTCAACTCACTTATAATCTGTACATGCCAATTGATACTTGGTTATATGTTGTTTTGAATTTTCTCTAATTGTTTCTTATGTACATTTCTTGTCTTTCCAATTTGACATTAAGGTTCTTAGGAACAGAGACCATATCTTTGACTTTTTCTGGGTTCCCTAGTTGCTTGAACATTCATAGGATCACAGTTTGAAAACTGGAAGAGACGCCAGCCAATTAGTCTAGCTCCCTCATTTTACAGAACAGATGCTCAAAAATACTTATTGGTTGAATGATTATTAGTTCTTCTTTGTGAATGAAATGAATACTTTGCTATTTTTGACCTTAATGACTTTATCTGTGAAATGGGAATGAAATTGTTGAGGCAAGAGAATTCAGAGGAATAATTTGATCTCAACAGGGTCACATACAGTGTTGATATCAATGAAAGTGGGGCACATTTAAACTATGAATCCTAGAAATGGTCTTGAAAGAGGAAAAAGACATGATATATATATATATATACATACATATATATACACATACATATATATGTATATGTAAATTTGGAAGGTCTATGCTGTTTATAAGAGACAAAACCTTGACTTTGGCCCTCTTATCTAGTTCAAGGCCCTCAAAAATAGTCTGTTTCACAATCATAAGAAGGAATGACAATGACATGAAAAAAGAGACAAAGTGATTTGCTCTAGAATTGGGCTTTGATGGGCTGTATTTCAGCAGCTCCAGAAGCTCTTACTTTATTATGAGCCAAATGTAACTCCTCTTCTTGGCCAGAAGCATCGAGCAGAACCATTGATTACAGCATTTAAGGAGTGGATTTTCAATGAAGTGAGAAATAACGTATGTAGACAGCTGAGGAACCTTTCCCCTTACACATTTGTGCTATTTGGAGGTCTGATAATCTGAATTTTATTAGTCTATAAATAGTTGTTATTCTATTCCTTCCACTGCTACCATTTAATAATTCCCCCTTCCTTCAAATTTATCTACTGCAGAAGTTATAAGGTTGGAAATTAGATTGACTGCTCATTGGTCAACCAATCAGATGTATCAGTCAGCATCTGCCAAATATTAATTCAGTTGTAAACCCATACAATTCCCCCTGCAGCTAGGATCCTCTCCCAGTAACAGACAATTCTCTAAACTGTCTCAAAAGAAATGGGATTTGATTACTCCACTATCTCAGGAGAATTATTAGCTGGGACTACCATAGAAGCATTTACTCAAGTCCTACTTCATGTTCTGATAGGTTCTACCAAGCTGGAAAGAAAGGCTTTGAATGTAAGTCCAGTGATGGGTTCTGTGTCTGGCTTAGAGGACTAGCTTAATTAAGTTTGAAAAGGTTTGTCAGCAGAAGATAAACTACTAATGATGACCTTTTTTTTTTTTTT